ATGAATTTGAGTTACGGTGAATCTGATACTTTGTATGGATTTTTTTCCAGGGCATGGGAAGCAGGTAGCACCCAAAGGTGCAAGGAGCTGGGCACAACAGCAATGCTTAGCCCAGAGGGTATCCCCCTTGGGCTTGGATACCTGCTTCTCCTGAGATCCAGAGCTTGGAAATCCCTCTGGAAGGCTTGTCCTTAAGCCCTCTGGTCAGGAGAGACACAAGGTTGGCCCAGATCCAGCTCCTTCTTCCATCTACCAGGAGCCTGGACCACATCTCCTGTTGCTTTGCAGCACCCCAGCCACTGTATTAGGTGCTGCCTCGGGTCAAGGGCCTAGAACGCAGATCAAAATTGAGAGAAATTGAGAGAAAAAGTGAGCATGTCCTCACAGTACGCTTACGAGAAAACAAGTAGTGCCGTGCTACGCTCTGAGGACTATCTTGCATTGATTAGTCATGAGAAAAATAAATAATTCAGCCTTGCAGAAGGGACCAGCCTTGAGATCTCCCCCATTGCCAGGGGACAGGAGGTGACCAGCTGCCAAACGAACGCGTCACGGGAAATGGCACAGAGCTGTGAATCATAGTTGGAAATGAGCACCGCCCCAGCATGCGGGCCTCATTTTTAAGATTATTTCAATATAAAGCTGGTATTTGGACCTCTCTTCTCCCTTGCATATTACACTGCTCCTGTCACTGCTTTGTCATTGAGCAGATGGGACTTTCTGGGACCTCCTGAGGAAGCAGCTGAGCCTGCCATGACAGTGAGTCCTAAATCTGCCCCTAGTCACGTCATCATGATTTTAGGCAGCTTTTAAAGGGAATTTTCACCTTCTTTAATGTGAGCAGCTCATTCACTTGGCCTAGATGGATTTTTTTTTTTTTTTTTTTTGGTGTAAGACCCGATGCTGATGGTTGCTGAAGAGCAAAGCGATGAATTCGGTTGACTTTGGCCATTCCTTGGATGCGACAGTGATTGGAATAGAAGATTATAGCAGGCAGTTGGGATAGAGGGGCTTGCAAGCAAACAACATTGGAATAACGTTGCAGAAAATAGCTACAAAGCCAGGATGCTAAAACCATCACCTCATTCATTACCTCTGACAGCAGAGCTATTCTCCCTAACACATAGAAACCATTTCCAGTTAATATTATTTATTATCTGCATCAATAGCATTATAATAGTATCTAGAGGGATTGTGCCACTTTGTGTTACAAGACATTGCATTCACATAATATGTAGTTCTGCTCCAAAGCTTCATTGGAGTTTAAGATGAAATAAAAAAATAAATAAGAATCATGTCTAGCAGAAGAATCCTGTAGATTCTGAGCATCAGTTTTCCAGATACAGCTAAGAGTATATTTGTGTCTTCAGTCTATTACGAATATGAACCTTCCTAGCTTAAACACCCAATTTGTATTTCAGCCTGAAGAACACTGTGTAAAAAGCCTTTATTTTTCATCCAAACAGCAAAGTTTCTAAACTAACATATACCAGCAGTTCAGATCACTTTTTCTTGAGAGAGGTATTACAGGAATACTGAGACTTGGGTTATTTTTTATGTCAATAGCGGAGAAAATCAGAAAATGGAAGGGTCAAATCAAGCAAAAGATCTCAATGTCAATATTTTCACCTACATAAAAGCACATGCAGGTCTCCACTGGAATGGTGGTGGGAGAAGTCTCTGGATGTGGAACTCATCATTCCTCTGGTAGTTGAACTGACTTTTTCCTGCAGCCCTGTAGCACTTGGTGACATCGATCTGTAGCCTTTCCCTTGCTTTTTGTCTCTTTTTTCTGCTTTCATTTGACTGCATTTCTTCAGTCCCAGAAAGCTACATGACATTGGCTGTGTATTCGTCACGCTGAGAGAGTCTGAAAATAATTGATGGGGGGAAAGGCTTTTTTCCTTCGCACACAGAAGAAGAAAAACCTTATGGCACAAACTGCAGGGAGCCCAGGCAGCATCTGGGAAGCCACTTCGGAGTCACGCTTTATTGCAGCCTTCCTATGTAATGGCTTTCGTCAACGCTGCTTCTGAGGAAATCTGCATGGCTGTGAGCCACGACAGGAGCTGGGTGTCCTTCAGATCCTGCCGGGGGTCATTAAGCTCCATCACCCTCACTGGGTGATATTTTGCTTCGTTATCTGCCACGTCAAAGCGGTGACATCCAGGGGCTTTTGCTATTAGAAAGGATGGGGCACTGTGAGGGTCCCAGCAAGGCCTCTCTTTGGCCTCACGCATCTTTATCCCAGTCTTCAAGGAAAGAAAAATGAGCAGCATCTACTGGCATGGATTGGGAGCCAGCTGGTGTCCATGCCAGGGAATTACTGCTCTACAAGATGACCTGAACCATAATTCACAGAGGTTTCCCAGTTTTGAGAGCAAAATGCAGCCTGTCTGTCACTTTGTGTGTCTTTCGGTCCTCAGATTTACTGTGCAAACAGCAATTTTGTCTGGTTACTTCCGCAAAGCTTTTGGTCTTCCCAACCTGTGGATAGACAGGAGTAGGGTTTCCCGGTCAAATCTCAGTCTGGTAAGCATCTATGGTAATCCTGAAATATTTAAAATGATTTGGTGGTGTCCTTTGCCTGATAAATGTCTTGGTGTTGTTTTTTGCAATCTGCTTTTTGATTAAAATGCAGATTGTGCTCTTTGGTTAGAGCCTAGAGGCATTTTCTTTGGGGAAGCATATGTTTTTGACTCACACCACTGTTCACAGCTTTAGAAAGAGCTGCCTAAATTGAATGGAAGCTGCACTAGCGAACGCATAGCAACTTCATTGCTAAGGCAGGAGGACGAGGATGAGCTCAGAGCAGCATCTAGGAAAGACAGCTCAAGCCCTTGGCCTGTGAACCCCCCGGTTTGCTGATTTTGGATCATTTGCACAAGCTCAAACTGCCCTTCTGATGCTCCTGCAGTGCACAGGACAGCGAGGCAGCCTCCCTTGCTGCTGCATACGGTGACCTGCTGCTTTGGGGACGTTCGTGTCTGAACCCACCCTTGCCGCTTCCCGCAGCCCCTCCTGCCTCCTTCCTTCCTCCCGACCCCATCCAGCCCCTGGAGCGCTCCGGCACAGCCAGGTTCACCCCCTCTGCTTTCACGGAGCAACATGTGGACTAATCGCATCATAAAACTGCATAATTATAAGTGTGGATGTACCCAATTCATCACCCTTTGTCTGGTGGCTCGCATATAATTTTTGCTCTATTTTTATGCCCTCTGATTACCTACGCCAGTGTGATGCAGCCCTGGGAAGACTCAGCTCTCATCGCAGCCATTTCTTTTTAATTCTTCCCTGACATCTCTGTTTAGCTTAATTTAAGCTGACCTAAGTTTTAGCTTAATTTAAGCTGACCTAAGTTTCACTGTTATGTTTTATAAATTAGCTAGCCCTTTTATTCTGGAGGGCTACAGAAATCCATTAGCATTACTGTAACCCTCCAGCTGTGTCTGTGCCTGGTTCCTCCTTCTTTATACTTGAATAATCTTCACTCTGTCATTTACCCTAAAAACAAACCTTCAAAATAGGAACAAAGCCTATTAAAAATAAAAATGTTTTGCATAAGTTAATAAGTGGTTAATAGGGATTGTTCACAAAGGTAGAAACTACATGAAGGGCAAATGGCAGTTGGGTCCAGGTAGTTTGCCAGGCTTTTGTGGGATTTGTAGGAATAAGCAGGGAAGTGACATCTTCCCATGGCCCAATTTGTTAAGGAGAGCAAAAATGAATAGTGAAGAGCAGCAGAAGGATCCTGTGATCCTGAACCACTGAATCCACTGTGTGTTTGAACATCAGCATAGATGAATGCAGAGCAACGTGCATGAGCAAAGACAACCCAATCACACGCACTAACGAGTTCCAAATTAGATGCCATCAGCCTGGGAAGGGCGTGAAGACAACCATGGAGATGACTAAATCTTCTGGGCAGCTACTCAGTGCTGAGCGGGGCTGCTGGGGCCCGTCCAGGAAGAGAGGCCACATTTTGGTGGATGAGGATGGCTCCTCTGGGTGCATTGGCACCTAATTTCACCTGCCATCGTCCGCTCCAGGCACCAGCAGATTCCTCACTGCGCTTGGAGTCATTTAGGGGGTTCTTGCCTCAAAAATGTTGCATTTTCTTCACAAAATGTTGCATTCCCAGCAAAGCAGGACACATCACTCAGGTTTGGGGTTTTTGTACTCACCCTAATCAGGTGGGGTGGGAGGGGCCAGATAAGGGAGGTGGGGCCTGGTAGGGTGGGTGGAGTCAAAAGAGGGGTGTGGCCAAGTGGGATGGGTGGAGCTGGTGGCAAACGGGTGGGT